ATAGGTGCAAAAGGCCCACAGGTAGTTGGGACAGCTGCATAGAAAGGAGGTCAGTCTGCTCTGAAAGCTAAGAGCGCAGGGTAAGTGGCAGGGATCAGGCCACACTGCAGAGCCTTGTGATGAAGGTGTCTTATGGGTTGACCCATAGAAACAGGAAGTGGGAGTTTTAATGATGGGAGTAAACAGTTTTGCAAGATTACACTAGCTGAAGAGCTGGAAATGGATTGCATAATAGAGTGTCTCAGAGCTGAGGTCAGAGCTGACAGTAGCCTGTACTTTGCTGATGGAAAGAAGTGAAGCAGGTCATGCAGAGGTATTTGACAGGGAAATTTTACAAGATTTGTTGATGATGGACTGGACATGGGGATAAGACAATAGACCCATCAAGGACAAGCCCATACCATGATGCATACCATGACATCTGGTGATTTTAATTATGATTTATGCTTTTTGTGACTTGTCATTCAGTAATGTCAAGTGTATGTTCAAACTTCTTAAAATGCTATTCACATTCCTAAGATGATTCTGAAATGAATGCTCAAGGAGAGATCTCGTATTTATTTACTTGTTTGGTAGTTACTGTACTAATCCTGACTTCACCTCTTATTTGCTAAAATGGCTCATGATTTTCAATTTAAAAAAAGGTTGATTTTAATATATATGTTAAGAGGGTTAGCATCATTTCGTTATTTCTTGGTGTTTTTCTCTCAAAAGAGATATCAGGATTTAGGTTCATTTGTCATACCATAATTTAGAAAACCAACCAATACAATTAAATCAACGTTTTAGTTACCTAGGTATGCCTTACAATTCTAAGATTGACAGACGCTGCTACAATTCCCTTGTTAGGACTGAAGCATCATCTTCATGTCTGGGCTTAGGGTAAAAACTCCCGGGGACCATGGGATGTCATTTTCCTCCCCCAACTTCAAGCTGTTCTCAATTTCTTTCATCTTGCTTATTTTCACAGAATTTGGTATCATATTTCTGACATCCAATTTCTAGTTATTAATCTATTTTCTCAGTTGGACCTACACTTTCATCAACATTTTATAATGAAAATGTTAACATACACACACATTTAATTGGTAACTACTGATGTAGGTGCTTCAATTGAAATTTCTCTATCATACATCTACCCCTCTCTCTAGTCAAGTATCAGTCCATTTTATTTCTTGATAGATTTCAAACTAAGCGGCAAAAATCAGCTCATTTCACCCTTGGCTCTTCAACATGCATATTATTAATAAGTTGAATATTTCTTTTCAGGTCTTTTATTAGGTAAAAGTTCCATTTAATATACAAATCCTAATATAATACTTAGCTTTTAAAAATGCATATACAGGCCCTCCCTGGTGGCGCAGCGGGTTAAAGCACAGCACTGAGAATCTAAAGCCGCTTCCGAATGAGTTCTATTCCCGCCTGCCCCGGAGGTGACCACATGGTGTGGCAGACCTCTCCTGACCCGCCCGCTGCTCCCCTCAGCAGTGTACTTCGTCGATCTGCCTGTTCTGCTCCCCACTCTGTCTCTCACCCTCCGCATCTCTGGCCTGTACCCCAGTTCTGTATGAATAAATAAATAAATCTAAAAAAAAATGCATATACATCTGTAACCTAGACCCCATCTAGATACTGAACTTCGCATTCCAAATTGCCCCTTCCTGGGTCCCCTGCTTCACTTTACCCCTCTCACCCCCAGAGGTAACACTCAATTACTTAACCATAGATTACTTTTGCTTGTTCTAGAACTTCATGCAGTATATACTGTTTGGTTGTTATTGTACTAATACTGACTTCGCCTCTTGTGTTTGGTTTATTCATCATAATGTTTTATGATTTATCTACATGGCATGTATCAGTAATTTTTTTTTCCTTTTTAATGCTGAGTAGTATTTTATTGCATTTACCACAACCTACCACAGGTTAATTCTCTTGTTGATAGAATTCTGGACTACTTTCAGTTTTGTGTTTCTCTAAACAATTTCAGACAAGTTTTTTCCATGAATATAAGCTTTCATAGGTAAATAGTCAGTAGTAGAACTGGATACTGAGGAGCTGGGAGGTGTGCTTAATTTTCTGAGACATTGCCAAACCTTTTTTGCTAGTGCCTGTACAATTAAGTTAGCCCATATCCTTGACAAAATTCATCTTGTTTCAGACATTCTGATTATTGTTTAAGAAGCAAGCTAACAAATGACCTTAGAATCATGTATACACACACACACACACACACACACACACACACACACACGACTCCAGAATTTGAGTGTTTCCTAGTACCAAACATAATCAGGTGTTTGTAAATAAACCATTTAGTATAAATACAGCAACATTTGTGGAAATCTACAGTATTTAAGTAACTAAAGATTGAAATTATGATTCCCCCCCCCCCAACCAAGCTGCCAGTTTCCAAGGACTTGTTATGAAGCCCCAGCTTTGGACTGGGTAGAGCAGTAGATCCATCTCCAAGGGTGTTAACATTACAGAAACTCAGTGCTGAGGCCTGTTGGCCCCCACAGTACACATGATATCAGAGCTGCCAGTCTTCCTGTGCATGGACATACTCTCCACTTTAAGCTTTCTTTCAACAACAAGGAAACAGACTGAAACAATACCCTCCAGAGAGGCTCACTGACATGGGATATTGAATGATGGTCCCTTTTCTTTGCTTCATCATGTATATGACAAGGCCTATCAATAGCAGAGATTTAAACTCCCCCAACATTTCAAGAAAAGTGTATTTCAAATGATGTCCTACACTGAATCAGGGAACACTGTCTTCAGTTTGACAGGCCTGGGGCTGGGGCCTCCCTTGTGGGGCCTTAGTGAGGAGAGCAAGGTGACCTAGAGGAAGTGGATTTAGCGTTAGTGGGAGCTCCTTTTGAAACTGAGCTCTGCTCTGAACTCATTATGAGGCTCAGGCAAGGCCCTTCAGCCCTGGAAGCTTCAGCTTGCCCATCTGTTGGAAGGAAAAGATCTTTCCTCATGTAGGGCAGTAGTGTGAGGAGAATGAACAGGGAAGCTGCTAGCACACAGCCAGCATTTAAGAGCCAGTTGCTGCTATCACAGAAAAAAGGCAGTCTCTTTCTGTCCCAGTCCTTAGACACAATCCTCCCCTGGCTGCCCGCCTGAGAACACCAAAGTACAGAATTTAGCCTCCAAGAAGAAAAATTTAAATCTGAAAGGATTTTTCCATCCACGTGACTCTTGAGATGCAAGAGAGGGTATTCAGAAACAACCTGATTTGGGAAGTGGCAGTGAACACCCAGCACCATCGGTGTGGGTGTGCTGGGTAGGCCGCCTTGGGTGCTGCTCCTGCTGCCAGGGACTCCAAAATAAGGCCTAGGTGGGCTGGAGGTACATGTTGACACAACCCTGCAGAACTTCCACTTGTAAAAGCAAATGGGACCACCCAGACCTTCTCCAGGCTCCTATTGTTGGTAGCAGGGAGCCCATGGGAAATAGATGAGCCAGTTCAGGAGGCAGCAGTGCTGGGGCGGATGCATTTGTTCAACTCAGAAAATGCCTCTGGGGTGAGGCAGAGTGAGGGCACGTTTCCATCCCCCAGGCAGAGTTGGGCTGTGCACCTACTGGACCTTGGGCTTCACCAAGTTCTTCTAAACAGCACACTAAGCCCATGTCTAGTCACAGGAGCTCCAGCCAATTGGCAGAAGACAAGGAAATGGGTTTTGTGCGTAATCTGGGGTACCACTGGGACTTTGTTCCTCAGGATGTCGGTAATGAGACTCAGAGAAAGCTAAGTATTTAAAGATCACCTGCTTTTGAGTTGAAGCTGATTGAGAAAACAAGTTACAAGGCCGAAGTTGTATGGCATAGTATCAAAAAGTGGCATTCTGCTCAGTGGCTTGAGAACAGATAAATGGTCTTTATCTGCAAAGGAAAAACCAAGGCAGTTGTTCACAGAAGCAAACAAAAAAGGGCCCATAATTTTGAGGTAGTCATAACCCTCAGTCGGACTACATTCAGACCAGGGTCTCACCCAGGCTGCCAGATCATGGATTCTATAATTGTAAGGATGGATCGAGTAGAACAATTCATAGAAAACCTGTATTTTAACCCTTCAACTGTATGTGATTATTTTTCAGTGGTTCAGTCAAACAAAACCAAATATTTCACCTGTATCTTATATGTGGCACTTAGTTTTTATGGTTGATGTTGCTAAAGCCATGCTAATCTTCCTTCATAGACAGTCCTACACACTCATCTGTCTTGTTCTTTCAAGCTGATTTCCCCCATCCATTGAGTGGCTACAAATGTTTGATGGTCTGAGTAACTGCAAGTTGAGCAGCAAAGCAACATGACTCTACGTGAAGTAGAACTAGATGTACCCCCAATAACAGCATCTTAGTCAGATATAAACACAGAAAATGCAGAATCCCAAAGGAAGTAAACACACACACACACACACAATGCCTAGAGTTAATGATTTCATTATTACAGATAAATGTTGAGCATTAGCACAAACAAATTGGGAGACAAGAAGTGGGTGTTAAAATGCTTCTGTCTTTCAGATCTTGTGAAAGACATCTTGTAGACTAACTGGGGAGCCATTTAAAGAACTTTTAAAAAAGACTATAAAAAAAATCCTAAACTTAAATTCAGATGATAATATAGGAAAATTGCATATGTCTGAAACAAAAAGACTCTGCATTAGCCTTACTAAAATTTTAAATTTTGTTACGGCCTTTGCTTTCTGCATTTCTGTAGCATCTCAACGTAGAGCAGATGACTGAAGTTAGGTGTGCCGCTGGCAAAGCACGGCCCTCAGGCACCCGGGACTCCGGGCTGAGCCATCCTCTGTGTGTCTGACTGTGGTAGGGCAGCGTGGTGGGGTGCACATCTTTCATCTGTTTATGTTCTCTGTGCAGCCTTTGCTTTCTTGAAGTTTTCGGAGTTTTTTAATGAAGTCATTTGGCTGGAACTGTAGTTAATAACATAATCTCTTTCTCCTGTTTTACCAAATGTTTGATCAACTTTAGCTTCACAAAGTTCATCGTGATTCAGGGGACAATTCTCAGACAGGTGAGAACACTTCGATTTTACTCTTTTACATTCAGGAGGCATTTGTGGGGTTAAGTGTATGAATTGCTCCATAGCACTCTAGCTTGACAGTCCCCACCTCAGAACCTGCATTACTAAAATCTGAGTGTGGGAGTCAGAGGTTAGAAAAGCAGAAGGAAAAAAGTCCTTATTTCATGCTGTCTACCATTTTCTCCAAAGCCTCTCCTGTCCTGATTTTCTTCTGCTGGCTAGAAACTTACACAGGGCTGATAAAATAGAGTGGTCCCAAAATCCTGGGGAGACACTGTTGTCCGGCCACAGTCCGTCTTCCCTTCCCTTGTAGCAGCAGTGATGTGGGGGCCTGTGCTGCGTACCACCACCTCCAGCCCCACTCACTTGCCTCATACCTGAAGCCAGACTCTCACTATCTGATCTTTGGTGTCCTCAGACACAAAATGAGGGAGCTGGACCTGATGTCTCCTACATGTGGAAAGGTCTGAAATTCTCTGCTTACTAGAGGAAAAAATCAGTGCCACTAGAGGCTGGCAATTCTTCCTGTATGTACACCATACATCCTCTCCTGTCTGAGGCTTTCCTGCCCCTGAAACATGGTCAGATCCCAGGTGACTAATTTAGTCCCTCTCCTCCATTCTAGGATGGGCCATACTTTAAGGCTACTCAGAAATTTTTAATTTGATCTGAGATTCAATTTCTTCATTTGTTAAATGAATTAGCAATGTCCATCTCATAAGGATTGAAGAAGGAAATGTGCATCTAGAGATCAGGCATGTCATCTCCTCCCCTTCCTTGAGCATATTCTAGGCAAGAACAGCGGGTTGACAACACACACACACACACACACACTCAAACTCACACTCACACCTCACTCACCCTCAGTCTCTCCCTGCTCCTCTCCTCTGGTCCTCCTTTCTGATACTTCAATTTCTTGTTAACATTTACAGTGAGAATACTAACTAACTTCTGAGCTTCTGAATATCAAAAACTTTTAAAAGAATTTTTTTGTGTCCATTAGAGTACCTAGCACTGCCTTGTATATAATAGATTCTCAAAAAATACAGAACACTGATGAGCTGAAGCCTGAGCAGATTCCGTCACTCATTAGCTCTTCAGTTATTTTTGTAATTTTTCCAAATTTATATCTCCTCATCAGTAAAATGGGCATTTTACTATGTAGCTTTCAGAACTGTGATGACTTCATACTGTGCATACGTAAAGTACACCACACAGTTCCTGGTGCACGGCAGACGCTCCCAGACTGGAAGCGTTTTTTTATTGGTGACACTGTATCCTTTCTGCCATTGACTGGCGTTACTTGAGTCTACTTTACCCTTTTCTTTGGTTCCCAAATGTATTCCTCAAGCATCTGTTGAGAGAAAGAATAACAATCCCTATGAGTTAAAAGTCTTTTCGTTGAAGAATATATTCTCTGAACTTATAATTTCCATTGCTGTGGAGTCTCTGAATTTTAGCTGAGATAAATTCAAGAAAAATAAGCATTACCAGTTGAATAATTTCTGACAAATGATTCAACCAGTCATCTTGGACCACAGCCATGAAACTAACCTCCTTAGTTTAATTTTTTTTTTTAGAATTTACATTTTGAGGAATCCCTGTGTTCTTTAATATTAAAATTAATGTTAAATCTTTAATAAGTTAAATGTATTACTCAGTAAGCATGTTAGGAATGTATATGATTCTTACATCCATGAACAGGCTAAATGTTTTGCAGATGACCCTGTAGTTTCTCAGGGCCTGGAAGATGCCATGTGATCCAAAGGGTATCATTTAAAATGCCACTCCCCAGGGATATCTGTATAAAGAGCTACTGAAACATACCCAAGGCCAGGAAAGGTATTAGGTCAGAGTTTGGAAGATAAAAATTAAACAAAGGGAGAATAAATACTTAAGGTAGATCATTTAAGGTTAAGGCTTTGTGGCTTTGGGATTTACATTAACTATACTATTTTTCATACCATGCTGTGTAAATGTAATTCATGTTAATGGTTAAAATGATGTAGAAGAGTACCGAAAGACCTTTATATTATATTATGAAGTGGAAACAGCAAGTAGTAGGACAGTCTCATTATCCCATAAGTGCCTAAATAGGCATATCTGCAAATGAAGAGATGTGGTCAATAATACTAGCAAAATACAACCTACTTACGCCATAGCAGGACTGTTCTCAGTACTAACCATAACGTAACTCATTTATATCTCACAACAACCTATAAATGAGATACTATAATTACCCCCATTTTACAAATGTGGGTGCCCACCATAGAAGTCAAGTAAAATTCCGGAGGTCACACAGCTACTAGATGGCACAGCAGAGGTTCAAGTTTCAGCAGTTTGGCTCTGGGGCAGGGGCCCGTAACCACTAGACTCCCCTGGACTTTTATTTGTTAGTGTCATCAACCACTTCTTAAGCATCATTGCATCTTTCATGGAATAGGATCATTTATTGGAGATGCATTCTCTTCTGGACTCTGCATGGCTGCCTCTTGTCTTAGCACAGTAATTCTGTAATACAGTTAAGTTTCTCTCCTTGCTCCTGGTTACTCGCACAAGAGGCAGCTGCTCTGGAAAGTCATGTTTCTGAGAGCCCCGGGCTGCTCTGTCATTTTTATCTCTGCTGTCATTAGTACCATGCACTGCTTGCTTAGATCTTGGATTAATGTAGCAGCAGATTTTGAATGTTAAATTCAAAGTGTGCAAAGATATGCAGAATGTAAGTGATTTTTTCCCCCCTCAGAAAAATCGGGACAAAGTGAGAGTTTAGTCAATGGAACTATACAGCTGTTTTCTCTCCTTTCCCCTTCTCATGATTTTCAGTGTGCAACAATGACATCAAAGCTTCAAGAGAACCTGAAGACCACTTACCAGTCTGACTTTTCAGACAGGCCTAAAACTGGTCTAGATTAGTTTCTGAAATAATTTCCAGTTTTATGTGTGAATCTCACTGGTATTTATTTCCCCAAATATCCTCCTAAACACCTTCCCTACATAGTTATGTATTGTGTTAGGTTGAAATGAACCCCTCCAAATACTCCCTCAGTTCTATTATTTTAAAAAGGTAGTTGATGCATAAACTATATATTGCTGATGAGCCCCATGGCCATAATGTCACATGATGGTTAAAGTAAGGAGCCTCATTTTACAACAGATAGGACTGATCATTCTGAGCCTGGATGATTTGTACAGAAAGCAGTTTACTATCTCATAAATTGATCTTATAGTGCTTAAAAGGTAACCTTGTTTTCTATGGGAAATGTGTTAAAACTTCACTGGTGAATAAGCAAAAAAATTAATCACTTTCCATTTCTAATCTGAAATCCTTAGAGTCTCATTCATTCAGATACAAGAACAGGAGGAAAGAGTCTATTGATGTGAAATCGATATCTTCTCGAGGCAGTGATGGTAAGAAGTTTTTTTTACATTTCTGAGACCTTTTAAAGCATAGACTATGACAGAGGGAATATATTCAGGTCCACAAGAAGCAGGATTTCCATTAAACCAGCCTTTTCTTTTTCAGTAGGTTGAAAATTTTTAGGCTTATAAAATGCTTTGATTTTTACAGTCTTTGTCTTCTGTTTGCAATAAGTCCATTTGTTTCCTGGGGCTGAGCTGTGCTGTGAGGTGTAATCATCCAGGCATCTCAGAGCCCAGGCAGCTAGTCAGTGCTCCTAGGGTGAGGGGTAGGAGGGGGGGGGTTAGAGTTGGGGCTTTCCAGCTCCCACCCAAGCCCAGCTTGGGCAAACCTGCACTACACCCTCCTCTGCGCTTATTAAAATGTCACAGATAAACTGTGAGACAGAATTGAGCAAAAGCCTTTCTTTTTTCAGTTCCATCATTCAAGCCTAAGTAATCCATTGCATTTATAGAGAGCTGGGAAAGTCAAAGATGATCCTGAAGTCAAATTCCTAATTGCCTGGGAAGTAACACTGACAGAAATAGCAAAGTCTCCAGCTATGCTTAAGTTGAAAACTAAGTAGGCATAATGAGTTGTATTGTAGTGGAGATACCAAGCAAGCTAAATGCAAAATTGCTACTGGGGGGGGGTGGGGGGAGTGGAGGTGTGGATTGGGAGCACTAGAGGAGACAGATGAAGCTAGGAGCGCTGAGAACATCTCAAGGATTGTGTGTGTGTGAATGGGAGAGAGGGGAAGGAGAGGGAGATAGGTGGTACCGAGGGGTACGTCCAAGGCTGAGGGGCACCCTCAGTGGGGGGGGGAGGCAGGAGCAATCATGCCAGAGAACAGAGCGGCCAGGGATGAGCCCCATGGGCACAGTGACACCTAAACCAAGAAGAAGAGGGCAGCAAGAGAAAGGAGACAGCCAGCAGGGCAATTAGAGTGTAGTGGGGATTACAGAGGTCAGGAGTTGGGAACAGACTAAAGAATTCACTGACTGATTGCCCTTTTATTTAGCAAATACGAATATAGGCTTGCTGGCTAGTGACTGTGGTAGAAAAGGAGAGCAGAGGGCACTAACTAAGGGGGCAAACAGGAAGGACAAGCAAAGGGCTTTTCAGTTCCTCGGGTCACAATAGGAAACTGAAGTCTAAGGGACATGGCTGAACAAGCAAGGACTGAAGACTCTGATAGGATGGGTAATGCCTATGAAGATGAATAAGTCACAGAGATGCAAGGGGTTTAGACCAGGGATGTAAAGAGAGAAAGACAGATTGAAACTGAAATATTTTCAGATAGATTGTGGGTATAGATAGAATATTTTATATGGAGTGGATAATGGGGAGGGTGTTTTAAAGATATATTTATTATGCATGCATGCATGCATACAGATGTTTATTGCTGCTTTATTTACAATTGGAAAAACATGGAAGCAGCCCAAATGCCCAAAAGTAGATGACTGGATAAAAAAGATGTGGTACATATATACAATGGAATATTACTCAGCAACCAAAAAAAAGAAACACATGTCTTTTGCAGCAACTTGGATGGAGCTGGAAAAGATCATGCTTAGTGAGATAAGCCAGAAAGAGAAAGAAAAATACCGGATGGTTTCACTCATAGCAGGAGTATAATGGACCAGGCGGAAAATAACAAAAATAATGAACAACCATATACCAGAGACATTCTGTGGGGGTGGAGTGGGGAATGGGATCGAAAAGGGGGGGGAGGGAAATGCATGGGATTATGGTGATGGCAAACGGGTAACTTGGTGATGGGAAACCCGCGGGGATTACAATTGAGATGGGGGGGAAAATGTACAAAATGATGTAAAAAAAAAAAACTTTTGTAGTTTAAAAAACAAACAACAAAAAAAAAACACAAGAACTGGGGTATAGGCCAGAGATGGGGGGAGGGAGAGGCTTCATCAGAGACAAGAGTGGAAGACAGAACAGGCCGACTGACTGAAGGGAGCAGTGGGTGAGACAGGGGAGGTCTGCCATATCATGTGGGTCAGCTCCCTGGCTGGGGATTGAACTTCTGATGCAGCGTCTGGTGATAGCTTCATAGTGCTGCGCTTTAACCCTTTGCACTATAAGGGAGGGTCATGGGAGGGGATTTCTAATCAGAAAATGGCTGTTTTCTGGAGAAGAGGTTGAGGACTCCCATCTCTCCAGCACAGAGATAGGGCAGGTCACAGAGTAGAAATGAGGGCCGCAGCAGCCGCTGCTCTGGCAGTGAGAGGAGGCCCAAGATGGGTGAGCAGCAGAGGAGGACTCCGTGGACACTGGCTCACTGCTGTCCCACCTGTAACGTAAGAGATGGCCACTGCTGAGGGCCTCACAGACAGTGTAGGACAGTCTGACCAGGATGAGACTTTTAAAGTAAAACTTCTTCCTACCTTTTGAATTTTAAACCACACATAAACATTAACTGCTCAAAAAAATATATTTAAAAAAGAAAGCTTCTAAAGATTGAAGGTGGAATCTTTAGCCACCACTGTGGCTTCTGGGTGTTAAGAACCTAACGGCTTAGAAAAGTAAATTGTCTGGTCCTAATTTTTCCTGAAAGTGGGCTCACTTTTCTTCCTGGCCCCCCACTTTTTGAGGATCATATACCCCCTACATGCCACACAGTGACCCAGTAACAAGGCCAGCGGCTGAGGACTGAAAGTGTGCAGTTGGCCATGTCGAACTGTAGTGACCCATGGGAAAGTGAGTCCCGGTGGATTGTTTGGCTCTTGGCATGGGGGTCAGGATCCCACCAACCTCTTCTGAAATTCCCTTTGTGGACCTGAATCTTGTAAAGCTGTCCTGCCAGCAAAGTTCCAGCCAGACTATTCTTTCCAGACACTGGCAAGTGATAGCTGCACTCTCAGTCTTTTAAGAGGAAGAGGTGGGTGAGTTCATAGCCTGGTAGGGAGCAGCTGAAGAGGGCAGCCCCCTGAGAGTCAGGCCCTTCCCCTGCAAAGGGCTCTTTTGTGCTTAGCCAAGCTGAGCCATCAAAACCAGGTGCAACTCTCTTCTCCCCAGCCCCCAGCCTGCAGAATCGGCGCTACCCTTCCATGGCAAGGATCCATTCCATGACCATCGAGGCTCCTATCACAAAGGTGAGTGACAGCTGCTGCCTCCACTGTGCAGCCAGGGTGCCCAGCACCGGGCTTTATCACCGGGTTCTGGAGATAAAGTAGTGATATCATACCCCAGAACCCCTTGCGTTTACAGGCCAGTAGGGGAACCTGCTGAACAGGCACTGTGTGTATAACCTAGTGAGTGCTTTGATGGAAAACAGGGGTCTATGAAAGAAAATCAGGTCGGAAGCTGTCTCTGTAGAGGAAGTAATGATTGAAGGAAGACTTGAAGCATGCAAAGGTGTTGGGGGGCGGTGGGCTCCAGGCATCAAGCAACAGGTCAGGGCAGGGGACTGAAGCATCTGAGGACTGGAAAGTGTCAGTGGCAGGAGCCCGGGGAGCAGAGAGAGGGCAATAGGGACACAGATTCCGTTCATTCCTGTCAACGGGCCTTGTAAAGTGTTTGCATTTTAGTTTTTAACGGGCACTGGAAACCACTGAACAGTTTAAAGTTAGGAGAGTGACATGGTCAAATCAGTTTACTGAAAACACTCAGCGACTGTGCGGAGGATGGGCTGAAAGCGCCGACAGAGAGGAGGGACCCGTGAGTAAGTTTTTCCAGACTCCTGGCAGGTAATGTGCCACTGGGCTGAGCCCTAGCAGCGGAGGCAGAAGTGAGGAGGCGAAGGAATTTGAAGGGGTAGAATAAGCTGTTTGAGTGATGCATTATATTGTCAGGGTGGAAAGAGGGAAGTGACACCCCTACGCATTTGGCTGGAGCACAAGATAACTTCCACATAGAAATGAGAGACAGAACAGTGCTTCTGTCTTTGATTATGTACATGTGTTGTTTATTTGCTTGCTCTGGGGAAGGGAGAACAAGCTCAGGAGTATACTTTGGGACATGTAAGATAGTCCAACAGATGTCAGTGGGCCTGTGAATTTACAAATTCAGGAAAGGCATGTATATTTGAGAGTCTTGGTATCGACCAGAATGTCCAGAGTAGTGGAAATAGAGGTTGCTGCAGGAGGGAGGGCAGAGTAGGGGAAGTGCCAAGCCAATCTCTGATGCGCTGCCACCTGGACAGGAGAACTAGAGGTCCAGCAAAGGCGCCTGAGGTGTGGTTGCTGGGGCTGGGGGAGGGCACTCTTCAGTCAGAAGGGAGAGGCGCCACGGATACCTGCTAATTGTGAACGTAAGTTGTACTGTTAACTGATTTCTAGAGTTGGGTTTATGTATATATATATGACTCTTGGTAAGTAGAATCCTAAGGTCCAGAAATTTACTTTGTTTTCTTCCTTAGGTCATAAATATAATCAATGCTGCCCAGGAAAACAGTCCTGTCACGGTAGCAGAAGCCTTGGATAGAGTTTTAGAAATTTTACGGACCACAGAACTGTACTCCCCTCAGCTGGGTACCAAGGATGAAGATCCTCACACCAGTGACCTTGTTGGAGGCCTGATGACTGTGAGTGGTGAAGCCAGAAGAGCACGGAAAGGGACATTCAGTGCATTCCAGAGCCTGTGTTACTTTAACAGAGAAATAGTGTCTGTAGCTGCAGACACTGCTCTGTGGGCACACGTGCCATCACCACAGCCAGAAGCAATGGACCACACTTTGTGTCCTGTGTGTACGGTATTAGGCAGTAACAGCTTTCCTTGAAGCCGACTGGCTACAGCCACGGGGACAGTCCTTCACAATTTATTTCTTACTGAAGACTCACTAGGCAGTTGATGGAAGGACATCTGTGGATGATGGGGCCTTGAGTGGTATGGTATCGGGGTGAGGGGCATGGCTAGCTTCCCTTGGTCCCAGATGCTTCATCTAGATAATGAAAGGGTTTGTACTTAAGACTGCAGGAGGTTTGGAAATCTTAGCTATAGAATTCTTTCTTTAAATTCAAGCTTCTGTGTCAAGCTCCATCTATAATCAGTAACTGAAGCTGGTACAATTCTTTGGGAGAAAAAGGCCAAAAGTCATCTGTGAGTTTCATTCTGAAGGTGTCTGACTAGTCCTGCTATAGAATGCTGAGTGTTGCTTGGCTCCCTGACCTAATCTCCTTGTTCCCATGGAGCGTCTTAGTGCCTTTGTAACTTCCTGTCCCTTTCCTGCCACCCGGACCAGTCTTGGCCATCCACCGCAGAGCAGTATAGAAGGTCAGTGCTGAGAAGGTCAGCAGGGCCCATCAGTGCTAGGCTGCAACAGCAGGAATCTGGTTCCCGCCCCACTAAATCTTCCATCTCTGAACTGTACATTACTGGGTTTCCTTCCAAATCATACTCCAAGAAAACAGTGTAGGATTCGACTTAATTTTTTTTAATGATTTATTTATGTTTACAGAACTGGGGTACAGGCCAGAGGTGCGGTGGGTGAGAGGGTTCACCAGAAACAGAGTGGGGAGCAGAACAGGCAGATCATCAAAGTACACTGCTGAGGGGAGCAGCGGGCGGGTCAGGAGAGGTCTGCCTAGGCATGGCAGTCACCTCCCTGGCTGGGGATCGAGCTCCTGCTGCAGTGGCTTCTGAGAGCTTCATAGTGCGGAGCTTTAACCCATTGTGCCACCAGGGAGGCCCCGATTGGACTTAATTTGAAGAAGTTTTAGGAAGGCAGAGAAAGAAGGGCAAAGAAAGGAATGCCTTGGGATTCTAGCTGCCCTAGAGTCACGGTAGCTGGACCTCTGTGACTTACCTACTACTTCAACTTTAAATATTAAGGTCTTGACCTGGAAACCCAAAATGTGACTGCAGGAAAAGTCTTTCATTAATATTTTAACACACATTTTTTAAGGGTGACATAATTATTCATGACTTTTAAACAGGAGAGGAAACAGACTCAAGAACATAAAGATTAGGTCAAGAGACTAGCAGAATGATAGCTGAGCAAGATTCTATGCTCCCTTATGCAGCCCTTCCAAAGACTTCAAATGCAGAAATTTTTCTTCTAAAGTCCAGCAGAAGTGTTAATGTTGCAAATGAGAAAACAGAGCTGAAAAACTTTATGTAGATATTAGTAAAAAATTAGCCTGCCCTTAAGCAAAAAAAAAAAGACATGTATGCATACGAAAACTGGAGTATGGGCCAGAAGTGCAGGGGACCGAGGGTGGGGGGCTAGTGGTGCAAGAATTCACCAGAGACAGAGTGGGGAGGAGCAGGCAGATTGACTAAAATACATTGTTGAGGTAAGCAGCAGGTGAGACAGGAGAGGTCAGTTGTGCTTTTAACTCCTTGCACCACCAGGGAGGGGGCCCAGCCCACCCTGTTAATGGCTTACCATTAAGTCAACTTCCCAAATGTCCAATTATAAACCTTAACAACACAATTAATACAAGTTTATCTAAAGGTAAATAGAGTCTCTTCAAAATAACATGCATGCAAAGCAAATCACCTGCACAGTTTCATAATATTGCTTCAGAATGTTAGAAGGATGACACGATGGAGTCAGCTCACATCTAAAACGCAAGACCTGACTACAGTCACACCTACTTTATTCCCAATTCTCCACATGCTGGCGCTAATAGACTTGGAAAGGACAGAATCCTCTGTAGGTCTGATTTGAGTTTCAACCTGTGAGTTTCAGATTGTGTTAATCAGGGTTTCTTTGGCTAATGAAATAAATGAGAGTATAATGATGGAGGCATAGAAAGTATGCTCTAACCGCGTCCTTTTTTGTTCCAGGACGGCTTGAGAAGGTTGTCAGGAAACGAGTATGTATTCACTAAGAGTAAGTTGTCATTAACTTTCCTGTTACTAGTAACCTCTCTCCAGCCTAAGCTTTCCCCACTGTTGTGACTAGTGTCTGGGGGAAGCCTTGAGGTTACTTCCTGTGAGTCACTGGAGTGCAAGGATTTCTGTGTCTATATTTGAAATCAAGTGGGCTAATTAAAATTGTCTCTGAGAATTGGCAGAATAAGAATTAAAATCTATACATTAAAAAGGCAAGCCAAATTATTTTTCTAAGGGTTAGGGTTTTGAAGTTTAATAATGTGAGAGAGAAGAATGTCTGGGTAAAAATCTTCCTTCTCAATCAGATGTGCACCAGAGTCACAGTCACCTTGCAATGCCAATAACCATCAACGACGTCCCTCCGTGCATTGCTCAACTACTCGATAATGAGGAAAGCTGGGAGTTCAACATCTTTGAGTTGGAAGCTGTTACACATAAAAGGTACAAGGCTTGTCTGGGTGCATGTTGGGGGCACTGATGGCCATTCTCAAGACTTTCACATTGGAAACTCTGGAAAGACTTGAGTCCTTACCACAAGACACCTCACAGCTTCTGTCACAAGAGACATGCTGGAGGAGGAGTGTCAAATGAGAGAGAACACTGTGGCCTCTGAGTGAATATCTTTATGGAGCAATAGCGTAAAGAGGGTAAGATGCAGCAGCAGCAGCTAGGGGAGGTTCTGGGTGGGGAAGCACTGAGTGTCCTCCTTAGATATATATACCAGGTGATTCCTTTGTGCTAGTGAGCCAAGAGTCCAGAGTATTCTCAGCCCCACCTTGTTGAAACCCCACCTCACAAAATGAGTTTGTGAGTGCAGCAGACTTTTCTTTTGGCCCCATTCTGTAGTCAGGTGAAAGATAACTCAGAAAAGCCCTCTTCTATACCAGGAGAAGACTATTTCTTCTGTGGTATTGGTCAGTCAAATATGAATGATTGTCACAGGCAGTAATCAAGCCTCTAGCTGGCATGACTGCTGAAAGAGCAAACAGTTCTACTTGTCCTTAAACTCAGTAACTTCCTCAGAGCGTGCAAAGAGCTGGGCTTACATGATGGTTAGAGCCCCTGAAAAGCATGACCTTGGGATAATCTAGAATCATCCTGATTGCTCACCATAGACGCCTCGTTGTAAAGTGGATAATGAAAAGGCAAGCTACCCTCACCTTCTACTTTGGGGTGGGCACATTTTCACAGTGTGCATGTGGAGTAAGCGTGAAGAGAAAGAGTGCCTCCATCCCCCAGGATCATTTGAAGAAAATTGTTTCTTAGCCAGTGACTACAGCAAATCAGGGCTTGTTCTGTTTTCCAGGCCACTGGTTTACCTGGGCTTAAAGGTCTTTTCCCGGTTTGGAGTATGTGAATTTTTACACTGTTCTGAAACTACTCTTCGGGCCTGGCTCCAAGTGATTGAAGCCAACTATCACTCCTCCAATGCTTACCATAACTCCACCCATGCTGCTGATGTCCTGCACGCCACTGCCTTCTTCCTCGGAAAGGAAAGAGTAAAGGTAGAGAATTTCGATACCATGTTCTAGTCACTTTCCTGTATTGGAGATCAATTTTAATAACTACATGAAGCAAACAACTATGGTGCGGCCAGTTCTGCAGAGTTGTTTGAGTTAACTCACTCAGTGACCCTTTGATGTTACAAAGACATGGCCTTTTTGCCTTAGTGCTCCCCTTGCCCAAATGCCTAAAAAATAACATGTCATTACACGGACTCCTTGCTATGGCTGGCTCATGAATCCATTCACCAAATGTTTACTAGGATATTACATTGGGTTAGAGGACAGAACTTCTAAGTTATTAAGTCGTTATTAGAGCTAGTTAAGAATTTGGCACTGGCATATTATAACTCAGGTGGCAATGAGCCATGCAGCAATCCTTCAGGTGTTCTGGTACAGGTATGAAGGTGTACATCTATAGATTAGTGACTGTTACATAATTCTGAAAGAGTTCCATGTTCCTCAGTTCTAAGAAACCAATTACAATCCTGGTGTGCTTTGACCATTTTCAGCTTTAGGTTGGTGTGTGTGTTTGAACAGGTTTAATGTGCCTAGGCTTAAGGTGATGGGACGTTCAGTAGGTTTGTATAATAAATGCATTTTTCACTTACGGTGGGTTTATCAGAACATAATCCAATGCCAGGTCAAGGAAGATCTGTAAACTCACAGACAGGTGCTGATCCATAGGGGAGCACATGGGCTCACCATTACAGCTGGCCAGAGATCCCTGCCTGCCCTCCGATCCAACTGTCACCACTGTATAATGAAGCCTATCATTCCTCTGCTAGTTAGATCTGAAGCTTAGAATGTAAGGACTTCTTAGAGAAAAGCCATGTAGACTGAAATTTATATCAATCTGCAAATGCCTGACATTAGATTGCGTTCTTAGTTGTAAGACACTGGGTATATAAGGACAGCTTAGCAGAACAGGTAGAAGGAACAAAATGGCGAGGGAGGGGGAATGTTTCTTTCTCAGCTTTGCCAAAGACTGATCTTGGTATTCAGTTTTGTCAGCAAGAAAGGAAAGAATGTGTTTGAAGAAGCTTCTCAGAATTTATGTCAGAATTTATCAGCTTTGAGGAGCTGAGACTTTGCCAAGTTCCTCCTTTACTTTCCCATTTCACACAGCATCAGCTGACACCCAAGCGCCATGTGAGGCCAGCACACGGGGCACTGCCAGCAAAACCAGCGACCTAGACAAGCTGCTGTAGCTTGCAGTTAGACATAAACTTCACTTAACGCAGAACTGATCTAGACAAATGTAAGTTAAATGCTTGAAAAATTAGGGTATGTTTTGTCCATTTATATCTCCTGCTCCAAAATAAGAATTTTTCTTTGAATTGTGAGTTCTGCTAGTTCATTCAGAATCTGAATTTCTCAGCAATAGAAACAAGTCTAAGCTTAAATATAACATGCTTACAATTGAACACTGTAACTCTAACAGTCTCTGCTCTACAGCTCCATAAGGAGCCTTGGAAAATTGGACTGGAAGGGGTCCTGAGCTCAGAGATTTGCCAGTAGATCAACACCAGTGATTAGTGCACTAGGAGACCTAGCCAGTGAGTTTTTCCTGAGGCCTCTTTGAAGAGACCTGATGCTGATAAAGAGTCAGAAGAATGTGCTTACCAATTCCCCATTTTATCTGCCACCCCAAATTTTTTTGTGTAAGGTCTTAATAGTGACAGTCAATGTCACTAACAGCTCCACATCCTTAATCCAGTCATACAGGTCATGTGTCCAGAGCTGACAGTCCCTTTAAACTTGTTCTGGACAGTATACTCACCCCATTCTTTTTGGTCTTTGGGGGCTACTGCAAGTGAGTAGGGATGGACAGCAAGCACTTGTCACTTCACACTAGGTGGTATTCATCATGGATAAGGGACAGCTTGAATGAAGGCCTTCTAATCAGTCTGCCTCAGTGTGATACAACCCTCTTACTTCTGGTTAAAGAAGGAAAAACTTATGTAGCAATGTTAGCACCTTCAAGGGTTTGGAGATTCTTCTGCCATAGGTTTGGGTGAAGTTTTCTTCAATTGATGTTCCCTCCTTCCCATAAGAAAGGACTTGCTTCATATATGTACTTGTGAATGGGTTCAGTTTTTCCTTATCATCTCCTGCATCCTTAACATTCCCCACACTGCAGTAGCTGTATCATTAAGGAGCAGCAGAGAGATAAACATTTCCATCACCATGAAAGTTAGTGAACAGCAATGCTCTAAACTAGATTAGGCCCGCTGTTCATGCTCTCAAAGCGCCTGTACTTTCCTTATTAGCATGTCTCACAGTAGATTCCTTGCATTTGTGTTTTTTTACTTGTGTCTCCCTGAATAAACTAACCAGCCCCAACAGCGCAGAGTATGCCAGTTCCCTTCATCCAGCACTCTTTGAGCCAAAAGGCACCCAGTCAGCATCTAGAAGGTAGACTCTGGATGCACGAATTCATAGTGTGTCTCCTTATGTAACTGTAGCCGGTTTGATAATTTTCTTCAAAAGCTGTGAGCTGAGGAAATATTTGAATCTCCTGATACTTTGGTTTATGTTTATTAACTATTTGAGGTCTCTCAAAAACTGAGGGGTCTTTTTTCCCCTTGACTGTTAACACTAGCATGGAATTTATTAACTGCAAGAACTTCGGTTTTTCTAGGAGAGTTCTTACTCTTAAATTGCTCTGACTACTCATCTCAAATCCTTTCAACTTTCTGTGAAGAGAATTATTGTATCTGTGCCACTACCATACTCTCACAATCTTTTCAGAAGTAGGCAAATAACCTAGTAATATTTATGATCACAGGTCAATTTCTGCTCTAGTCACCTAAGGAATCACAGCAAAACCGTACAAGAGATTTGTAAATGTTGGACATTTCCCCCAAAGAACTGGAATGGCCTCCAGGGAAAGGATTTAGGTATCACACTAAGTACATTTCAGATTTCAATTTCCTTCCAGATAATCCACAGCACAGCACAACAAGGTGATGCAATGTGCCACAGGCAACCTTCAAACTCTAGGAAGTCAGAGAAGGCTTAACAGGCTAAGACGATATTGGTCATCCTGGCTCCCCTGGCCCAACCCCCTCTGACTGAAGGCCTCATACATCCAGTGGATAATGCTCTGCCTTGCCTCCCTTTCCCCCAGGGAAGCCTCGATCAGCTGGATGAGGTGGCAGCACTGATTGCTGCCACAGTCCATGACGTGGATCACCCAGGAAGGACCAACTCGTTCCTGTGCAATGCAGGCAGTGAACTCGCCGTGCTCTACAATGACACTGCTGTCCTGGAGAGTCACCACACAGCCCTGGCCTTCCAGCTCACAGTCAAAGACAGCAAATGCAACATTTTCAAGAATATTGACAGGTTTGCTGGGCTTGGGATCCTGTACTCAGGGTTTTGAAGTATAACAAACTTGGTTTCTCCAAACTTCTCCAAGTACTTAGCTTCCTCTTAGGGGAGTTAATGGAGAAATTAGCATCCTTGTGCCATTTATCAGGCAGTAGGATAAGCTCTCCCTTGCAAATTTATACTTTCTTTTTAGATCTTACTTGGTTTTCAGTTCTCATGAAAATGTTTTATACACTCCACAAACACTGCTTATACTACTTTTTTTAACTCTACTCATTTTTGTATGACTCAAGAAAAATGTATACTCGCCCATCTACCATGGGGAATTTTCAGTGACTTGTCTCACGAGATGATGGTATTCTACACTAGTTAGTTATTGTACTTTCTTATGCTAAGTGTTGGCCAAATGGGGACAGGCAGCAGCATTTCCTTTTTGTTACTAGCAACCTCTAGTCAGACTGTGGCGTTTTTCCGCAGCAGCAGGCAGGCTGGAGCACTGCCTCCTTGGAGAGGACCATGTACAGAGTGTGTATTACTCACTCCACTTCAGGGACCACTTGTCAACATGATCCTATCAGTCTGGATCATATTTGAGAAAATATGAGGCCAGCTATTGTAGCTTTAAGTTCTACCGGAATCAAGGATTAATTTAAAGTTGTCTCAGAATTCTTTCCATTAGCCAATTTTATTAAACTCCTAAGGACAGAAAAAAATAGGAACTGGACAGTAATGTTGGAGGTTAGGTCAATGTGAGTACTACATTCATTGCAACTTCTAATTATAACCAAGAGAACCCTTATTAATGGGAAAACATTCTTCCAATGACATCATCAAAATAAGTAATGCCAACTCTCTGCCACCGGAATTACTGTGTCTGCACAGAATGCAATGCAATGGACAGCTTGTCAGGTCACTGTAGCAGCCTGGTTGAGAAGGACATATCATTTCCTTCTACCTCATTGCTTTGTTGCCAAGGAAGGTAGAGAATCAACCTGTAAAAGAAGTGCCCACCATCTGATAGGACCTTTCTTTTTTATACATGACTCATACGAGGAACGGTGTGCTGTCATTTGGGCTATGGCATGTCCCTATGTCCCGACCTAGGGGGAAGATGAGCAGGTAAACTTTTTTGTGACCTGCCCTAATTTCTTAAATTTGTGCCCCCAGATTCTTCATATTGTAGGAAGTATGGTGAATCAGTAGCAATTCTAATTTTGATACGATGTTAACCAAGGCCTTTGTATTTTGGTTATTTTAGGAACCATTATCGAACATTGCGTCAGGCTATCATTGATATGGTTTTAGCAACAGAGATGACAAAACACTTTGAACATGTGAACAAATTTGTGAACAGCATCAATAAGCCACTGGCAGCTGAGGTAAGCATAGCCTGAGATACATGAGAGTATATTTCCACTGGTGCCTACTCTGGCCTCAAAGCACTTTACCTTTTGAATACAAGGTAGTTACTTGGTTGGAGTTGCTGAAGGGCTAAAAGTACAGGCAGCTTGTTCTTCTTGGGATTAGAATAGATGTAACAGTGTCCATAGCAACTCTGAGCTTCTTGAAAATCCCCAAGCTAAAGTCAGTGACAAAAGGAAGTAGGCCCACTGATGGGCCTGCACACACAGACTGGCATTAATGGCGTTTTAGCAGCTCCCACACTTGTTCTAATAGTGGTTTGAGTTCTTGTGAGACCTCAGAATTGGTAACTGTTTTAAGTAACTATTCCTGCTGGCTTGCACTAGAACAGTAATGCCTAAATACCATATATACTGTCAAATATGGAGACACTAAATGAAAACAAAATCAAATGACCCCTGAAGCTGTTCATACACACATAAAGTTATAAAGAAAAGTCTTCTGCCTGTTTCTTGTCGAGCAGAAGAGATTCTATCAATAGATGGATGATTGTCTCAAAAGTAACCCGGTGATCATTAAGGAGACTGTCTGACCAGGACCATCATCATTCACCTTGCCAGTCTGGATGGTGTCCATCTCACCTTGTTTCTGCTACATCAACCAGGTTATTATTCTGCACTACCATATCAGGGCCCTCACCTTCCAGAGGATTTATGGAAGCATAAAATTACATACTTAGAGGATTTTATACAACTGTCTATTGAGATGAGTATCCTCTAAATAGTAAATGATCCAAACCATCACCATTAAGTGTAGTCATTAATGGTGTGATAAATGGGTATAGTTCTAAACAAAGTAAAGCCCCTTAAGTGTCATGCAGTCTTTCAGCGTGGCACTTCTGGGGATAGTTGTGTTCAGCCAATTCAGTGGTTTCTTTGAAAGGGAGAGAATCACAATCTTCCAGTTAGTGTCTAACTACCCCATATGTAAGCCTACCCAGATACCTGTGTCTAATAAGGAAGTACTAGCAAGGTATGTGTGCATTAGCATAATCAGTAGGAAAAAATAATTTTGTAGAACTACCTCTATCCTTTTTCCCAGAGATAAGGGATGGGTGGTGCCAGACCCCTTTTATCATTTAAACTGTCTTTACCAGGACATACTGGGTGCGTTACATGTGGAATTAAGGAAAATCCCCCACTTCGCTGAATCTTACTCATACCTGAGCATGCTCGTTTGGTCACCATTTAATGTTTGCTTAGTTTGATTTATCATCCTCCTAAGGCTGTCCTGATCTGACATGTTTTCCAGGTTGAGGGCAGCGATTGTGAATGCAACCCTGTTGGAAAGAACTTCCCTGAAAATCAAATCCTGATCAAGCGCATGATGATTAAGTGTGCTGATGTGGCCAATCCATGCCGACCCCTGGACCTGTGCATCGAATGGGCTGGGAGGATCTCTGAGGAGTATTTTGCACAGGTACACTCTCTCTCTCTACGGAAGCTTCATTTGTTTTCTGGGAACAAAAGGCAGGTCACAGAGGCTCTGGGAAGTTTCCTAGTAGTAAATTACCCCTTCCTGGGAGAAAATGGCTCACTTGTGCCTGGAATAGACCTCTGGTTCCCTCAAGAGACTGATGTGGGTAATCAGTAACCAAAGGCTCCAGGGAAAGGTGGTATACATTGTGCCTTTGGAAAGTTCCTGCCATGGGTAGTATAGTACAGTAGAGGAGAAAAGATAGGTCCAATGATAGGAAAAAATGAAAAGTATCTCCAAAGGAGGTACAGGTTAAGTATTGTAAGAATTCAAAAAGGGATGTTTTCCTATATAAGAGGGGTTTGTGGAACTGTTAAGCCTTTTTTTTAAAGGAATACAAAATGTGCAACTAGGGAAGGACTTACTGTGAGACCAAAGTATTATAAGCAAAACTAGTGGGGGGGGGGGAAGGGAAGAGTATCTGAAGAAAGCAGCAATGTGTAGCTCACTTTAACAATATGAAGAGGTATTAAGAAAAAAAGCCCAGCTAGACTGCAAGAATAGTTCCAAAAAGAGGCTTACTTTCAGAGAAGAGATTGTAAGGACAGGTAATACACAGGAACACAAAGACCCAAGCAAAAGGGGGAGGGGGGAAACCAGTCATTTATGTGGCTGATCTTAGGGAGGATAAAGAAGAGCTGGTGGGACTGGGAGGAGAGTTGGCCAGCTGAGGCCACAATCAGTTAAGTAAGTACAACTTCAAGGCTGAGAAGAAGGACCCTAAGTTGAAGAAAGTACAACAGGTAGTGCTCATCTTGCCAGAAAGTGGTAAGGGGTCAAAACTACTACTTGAACAGTAGATATTTTAAGGCCATTTAAGTGTGCTGAGCCAAAAACCTAGGTAGGAGGTGTCATAAATGGACTTCTCAGAATCCGTGAGAACCTGAAACTAGTCGTAGTTATTCTCAAAGTATATAACAAAGAATTGTGAGAACATCTTTAAGTTCTCTGATATAAGATCCCTGTGCTAGTGTCCTTTCCTCAGAAAGGAAGTAATATAGTAATGGTTCCAAGACAAGGTGACCTAAACAGCAAATTACAAAGGAGGCCTCTGCTCAGAAAGTAGCAGCTGACTCAACAGCCCACTAGATATTAATCTTAATCAGCAGCATTTCATGCATGTGAACATTCTGTAAAATGCAAAATTCTCAGAAATACACACACCTTGAAAGTTGCATAGCCACCACCTAAGGCCGAACAGCGTGTCAGGTTTTTTCCTTGTAAAAAGTGTTCCGTGCCTATCATACTTTTTAAAAGTATACTTCCCATTTTGTCATACAGAATATTAAAGATGTCAAAATTAAATTCTTACTGCTTCAATGTCAGTAACAACACTCTAAGTAAAACACTTTCTTTAAACTACTGTTATAGAACAATGAACACTATAATGACCAGTTGTAGTTTCCTATCAATTCCCTGATTCAGCTAAGGAATCAAATTTTTATACAATATTGTCTCTGTACCCTGGAAAGTGACTATGTCAATTAGGATGACAGAGTTAGTATTACTATTACCTTGAAAATAGTCTCGACCTCAGAGCCCTTCAAGGAGCCAACTTTCATTAACCTCAGTATCTTGCTGAGCCTGTTTCTTCTTGGATGCATCTGTTTGATGTTCCGTTTTCACAAGGTTGTTCTGAGAAACTAGATGCTACTGTGACAGTTTCTAGTGCCTACAGCCCTGCATGTGTTATTTCTTGCAGACCGATGAAGAGAAGAGACAGGGGCTGCCTGTGGTGATGCCAGTGTTCGACCGGAACACCTGTAGCATTCCCAAGTCCCAGATCTCCTTCATTGACTACTTCATCACAGACATGTTTGATGCTTGGGATGGTAAGATAGTTCATGCTTTGTAATACTATATATAATATACACATTAAGGTCACTCTTAAAAGTCTTTCCAGTACATTTAACACTTTTTTCCTATTTCAGTGAATTACTTAAAAATAGCTATTTCAATATTCCACTCCATGAGCACAGTATCTTGACATGTCTGTCTTCCACTATTTTTTTTTATGTAAATCCAATTGTTTTCCTAATAGTCGTCTTTCTGTCCTTACAGCCTTTGCACATCTGCCAGCCTTGATGCAACATTTAGCAGATAACTACAAACACTGGAAGACATTAGATGACTTAAAGTGCAAAAGCCTGAGGCTTCCATCTGACAGCTAAAGGCAGAGAAGGGGACCTCTGATCTACAAAGGACACTGAATTATAGTAGTAAAGAGGCTTTCCTTAATCATGAAAACAACAAATAGGTTAAGCAGGTAATATTTGGTTTTTAATCATTCAAGTCCCTAAATTTCATTTTTGGAAAGTTATGGTTTATGAAAGTAAAATGTATTCTTTTAATCTCTTAGTGACAAACACATGGCAGACTCCTGTGCTCTGCTGTCCGTGTGTCCTTGTCAAACAAAACTTAAAATGCTATCCAAAAAGATAAAAGCAGCAAAGATTTGATGTTAATGAGACATTGACCAAATAGCTCTGCTAGTGTTCAGCTCATTTCTTATCCTAAAGTCACCCTTATTGAGCTTGACTATTTTTCTTAAAGCATCATCTGAAGGATTTATAAAATGAGCAAAACTACTTTCATAGCCTTGGCCACTCACTCTGTTGTAACAGGGATTCATCCTAAGAGAAAGAAACATCTGGTTTTGGGGGAATCCATGAGCTTCCCTTATTTCTGGTTGAAAGGGCATTACAAGGCACTATACTACATAAAAGCCATTAAATCTGAATGCCCTTGGACAAGCTTTTTAAAAAAAAAATTTATATACATTTGTTGTCATGTTTCAACATGACAATTCCATTTTTATTAAATTTGTATTAAATCAATCTGAATTTTTGGGGTATAACCATGGCATGCCATCTCTACTTATACATTTGAGGAGGGGATGGGGAGAAAGTTCAGATATTTTTAACTGATCTATATTTGAGATCATGCCATTTTGCTTTAAAGATGTAAAAAAAGAGCGCAAGACATGTAAATATCAGGAAAACAAGCTAATGAGAAAGCAGTAAATACTATTTTAAGCTATTAATGTATGCTAAAAGCTTCTGAAGCACAAGTGCATATTTTTATACAGCTGTTTTCACAACTTTCTGTGAGCTACAGTCAACCTGAGATTTTCCTTTGTCTTTTACCAGTCGACCCTTCTCTATATATGTATTATAACTATTAGAAAATCAGTAAATGAAATCTTTGTTTTGCTTTTAAATTCTGTATATGCCATACTGCATTTTTAAGGGGTATAGAGACTGACTTAACTGAACCAGTTTTTTTTGAAAATCGGAATGCAGGATGCTTTGGAAGTAGTACACTGGAAGAAGAAAAAAATACTTATCACTAACAATAATGTGCCAATTTTTTTCCTCTTTTGTACCAAAAAAAGGAAACATGACAAGTACATGCAAAGAAATGTATCTAAATTATTTTTCTTAGATAAAAGAATTTGCTTGGTCAAGACAACAGCCAGCTTTGTATTGTAATGTTGCTTTATGTAAATGTGATAAAAAAATGTTTTTGTGAAGTACTTGGAACTAAATTCTTATAGCTATTTTTCATTCCCAGTACCTTTTTGTTTTACTTCTCTAGCCTTTTTCATAATTTCAAAAAATTGGCTTAGTGTCCTTTATTTTATGAGCTACCTTGTTTCAGAAGCTTATTTGAGGCAAGGATTATCTATTTCTGACCATCTTGTGTTTCATTCCATTTGGTAAGTACCATTTATCAGATGTCTGACATTTCTACACGAACATTACAGCTTATTCAATGTTATTTCACAACAACGTTAAGCATTTAAGACTGTCAGGTACATGTTAAAAACAGCTATGTTATCAGTGCAACCTTTCACTTAGCTGCTAACTAAACAAGGCATTTCTCCACGTAATGATTTATGTATCAGATTGGTGTGAGCTATTATAAATCACCTATTATAGAGTTGTTTATTAGAACATTGTTTTGAGAAGAGTTTTATGGAAAATGCAATACCATCTGATACTATATAGGTGACATTTAAATTTGCTTACCTGATTGCAAATAAGCCTCATCACTTCTATTGGCACCTATGCAACCCTGGGAGAAAAAAATAAAGGGGACTCTACTTGCCCCAAAGTATACAGCCACACAAGGAGGGAGTAAAAGGGCATTAAAATAACAAAGTACACTCCATTGTTACAAGCTAGAGAAACTAAAGAAAAGATGCACATAAATACTGCAACTGAAATTGTATTCTTCTAAATTAAAAGTTCAGCTTTTATCAACAGTCTACATAACTACTACTGAGCAGCTCTGAATCACTACCAGACTCTCACTTTGAGGATGCTCCTGAACGTGGTTTTCCTTGGACCATAAAAAGGATTTGGCGTGGTACTTAAGGTATTGTTTTGTTATTGAAATCTATGGTTTGTAGCATTTCTTTTAAATAAACAGAACAGGTTAAATCATTTCAAGAGAATTATAACCCAATATATTTTCAAGAAATCTAGCAAACTGGGTTGTAGTTCATCTCTAGAGGAAAATCAGAAGCCCCACTGGCTCCAAATTGAAGATTAGAAAGCAGCCTCTTTGTAACTTCTCAAAAATGCCACAATAGCAGTTTCTTGCCTGAAAGCAATGCTGATTTTCATATTCACATGTTTCAGTGGAGGTTAAGTTTTAACACAGTCCTCCATAAAATTTTTCACTGTTAAGTAAAGCAAAAATAATGACTGTTTTCTTCATATATGGAGTGATACCTTAAACTATCAGCTAGCATTGCAAAACCTTACCTGAACTGTGTCTCTGTTATAACATTATGGCAATGATCTAGCCTAGATGACTGTAGGTCTTCCAGTGTTTGTAGGTAGTTGTTGGAAGTACCTATCAAAGGTAAAATTAATAAAAACAGCACTTTTTAAAGTGATAAGATCTAGTCCTCTAACATTATTACTCTCCCTGCACTTGCTTTAGTACATTTTTATCCTCAGTTTAACTCCACAATTAAACTCACCTGTTTTTTACATTCATAAATACAAACAGGGAGAAAGAAATTATCCTCTCAGGCCGGTGGGTATGAAGATGATTAAATTTCAGTGGTTACCATAGGGAACTACACTAATGAAACTTTCTCAAGCATCTCACATTTAAGTCAAACATAAAGCAAATCAGGCAATTTGGCAACACTTTTTACTGATCTCTCATGTCTGTCATATTTGAGGGGAAGTGTCTGGTCTAGTACTTATCAAGAACATCCTGAAGTTTACAGAGATTTTACTACCTAGGTAAAAAATGACGAACAAGAGGTTCTATGGGAACCCTTCCCCACTGGAAAAAAAAAGTTGCAGTCAGAGAGTAGGAGTCAATTTTACTCTGCAGAACATTAACACAAGTTTTATATTTCTACCTCCTCACAGGTTTTAGGTTCAAGTTGGATAAATTCAGAACATAGCAGCCCCACTGAGATTACTATGTAATCTTCCTTTCCTATTGGGAGAGATTAATTTTATAACAAGGTTCCTTTTTAAAGAAAGAACAGGTATAATTAGAACAAAGTATTTCAAAATCCTGAAGGCAACATGGAAGAAAATACATGTAATTTTTTAAAAACATAAATTATGAATATAAAGAGTATAAGACAATTATACTCAATAGAGGGTTTAAGTACTAATGTTAAAATATTTAAGGGTGAACTATAATTTAACTTTCTATCAACACATATTTGTGCTGTACTCTGAAACTTCTGTGCTAAAATTAGACCTGTTTCTCTGGGGTTTCAACTTACTGCTACAGACAAGTCAGTGATGTACTAAATACGGCAACAATAAATATTAATGGTTTTCAGAGTATTACCCTATATACTTGATGTTCAAAGTTCATACATAGGTATCTAATTTCTTAAACTAGACAGCAAGGTATAAATTGCCATTCTCCTCTAATTTCTGAAATAATCTTAAACTGCGTAATCCCGATTGTCGTTCTCCATTTTTCCACAAAATAATGAGATGATCGGCAGAGCATGTCACTATTCCGTGTTCTTCGAAGTACAGAAACATCTGTAAAGAAATCGAAAAATACCAATTACAGGAACTTCAAGGAAATGAGGTTAACAGATGAATAACATGTGCTAGTAATATATGTATACCTTCGAGACACATTTGGAAGGTTCCTAAGAATCTAACACATTTGCTATATGCTACTCTGAAAGTTTCCCCCACCATTTAAAAACTTTTAATGTGTTCCTACTATTAAACAAGTCCAAGCTTCTCAGGACATTCATAATCTAACCCAAGACCGCTTTCCCAGGTTTTAATTCCAAGTGTCTCTTCACAGGACCTTGTGTTCCAGCCTAGCCAATCTGCTCTTCCCATATTCTATTCTCATCTCTGTAAAACTACACTTTAAACCACCTACGTGAACAGAAAAAGTTAAAATGTAAACAACTGGACTACCTTTAGAGAAAAGCAAATATGAGTAAAACAATGAACTAGTATCAAGGAGTTTAAGGTTAACAAGATTACATTCATTCTAAATAACCTTCAAGATTGAGTTTAAGTCCCATATCTTCTTCTAACTCCTGTTTACTCATTGTCTGCTACTCACCTGAGATCACACATTTCAGAATAACTTATTAGGTAGATCTGTAGCCTGCCCCTCTACTACAGTGTAAGATCCTAAATGCTAGCTTTGCATTTTTGTAAACTCCATTGTCTAATCTACTGCTAAGATGCAATTGTGATATAGGTATTCTATCACATAGAATATCACATTCATTCTAAGCATGAATTCAATTTTAAATGAAAAGCAATTGATTCTTACTGGCTAGACAGTAGAAAAAAATTTAAGAGATTCACTTACACTGTCATCATCACACTATCATAGCCCTCACCACAGACAGTGGTGCTATATAGTAAGTATTAATGTACTTGAATGTTACAACTGTCTGCATCTTATAATTCTCAACTAATTCATACATGCCAAGAAACTTTTACTAAAAGTCAACAAATTGTTCTTCAAAGGGAGGTAATAGTAATAGCACTTTGTTCATGAATTTAACATAGGCCTCTATAAAACACACTCCACAACTCTCAAGCAACATCTCGTAAGAATTGCATTGTAGAATCAACCATATTCACATTGTCCTTTTTCTTTTAATCAACTATCTCCATGTCTTCAGTAATACTGAATAAGCCCATTTTTTAGAAGCAAACATATGCCTTGTTTTCTCACATTATCTCTAAAGGAAGACCCTATTCATATACAGTATAACCCATCCTATTCCATATTTAAGTTCATCAAAACCCACACAAATATGTAGAGCTCCCTACATATTTACATATTTACATGCATACTGGAAATACTACCACCTCCACAGAAGATGAGTGTCCAATCAAATCTCCAATAAGCTCCAGTGAACTTGAGGTGACATTTTCTTGTTTTTTAACAGGTTGACTGCTTTGTTTTACTCTTCCAAATCCCCACATATTAAAAAAACCTAGAGAAACAATGTCCATCAATCCATAAGTTACTGTGCTTTTTACCTATGGCAGTAATATGAAATCAGAAAAACCGAATTTTTAGTCCAGGTGTAGGGCTGACAACTAACTAGAATTTTGCTTCCCAAACCAAACACTGGAAAAATCACAAGTCGTGAGATTATGACAGAAAGACATATGTATTTTTCCATGCACTGAGCTCATTGTTAGTTATAATGCTTCAATGCTGAAAGAAATATTTTAGCTTAGCATGTGACGGTACATATTCTGTTTGTGTTATCAGGCAATATAAAAGCATAGTGAACTTCATAAGGTTATTTGGTCAGATTACAGAAGTTTCCTTTCACAGTAGACTTGAATGGAAATAAATATGCAGTTCTACATTAAAGCATTATTAAAATGTGGATCTTATGCTTCCAATAGACACTTGTCTACTGGAAGCATATTGTATATCACTCCTGAAACATAACTAACTACCTTTCATTTAAGAAAGGAAGAGACCAGTGTTTGGGGAAAGACACACCTGTTGGTACAGGTTCGGCTGCAAGCTGCTGTTTTTCTCTTAACTCCCAAATGCGTACACTGCCATCTTCTGAGCATGAGATTAACTGCCTGTCAAACAGAAAAGAAAAGATAAAAAGAACACCACAGAAGAGGTTAAATTGCAGTGAAAGTTATCAATAGAACTTCAATTGCTCTTATTCAGCTCTTAGCAGGAACTGATGAAAATCACAATTTACCATGGTTTTGCAATGCAAAGTAAAAGCACTCTTTAGGAAATGCATACATTATACTCTGTATTATACTGGCTTAAATTTTATAAATATACCATCTCCACTAAAGTTTACTCAGAAAACCACGATATGATTTACACTTTCACAGTACACTGAGCAGCTCCTCTTACTATGTTGACTTCTCAAGGTGCCTTCCATTGTGCAAGTATCATGTAAGAAAATACTACTACTCCCTTAATGTAATTTCAGTCTTAGACACTCAGCAGCCAAATTAACCAAGAGGAAAGCTTTGGACAACAAGGAGACTATCATTTGATTGTAGCTACCAGAAGAGATCAATAAAAAGATGGGTCCATTGGGTAATATAAAAAGAAAAATTAGTACATAAAAGTTAGTACATAAAAGTTAGGCCCAAAAGTTGGCCTTTTTAAATAAATACCAAATTTTGACCTACTTTCTAGTAACACAATCCGACAGTTCATTTCATTTGAGCCCTGCCTCTTGTAAATTCTGTAAAATGTTACCACAAATTTTTCTAGTAGAGACAGCCACTGGGTATTCTCCTTTTTCAAAACAACATAGCAGATCAAGCCATGGAGCCAGGTAGCTTTGACACTTGTGATGTTACACTAGTAGTCCTAGGGACTGAATTTCTTTCATCTGCACAGATGGGAACTTCACCTGTTTGGAAGTATGGTGATATGTAGGACATTGGAGTCATGTGCAGTTTTCTGGGAGGCAATCACACGCTTCATTTGAAGATTGTACACATATAAACCCCTTCCAACTGCAGCAAATATATTCTGTGGAAAAAATCCAAAAGTGAGCCTAATATCAGTACTAACCACTACCTGGGGTAATAGATTTTCAGCCCTGGAGTAGTATCAGAAAGCCACTGTGATTTTCCCTATTCCTAGCCTTCAATCCAAATGATTGTACTTGCCCTCTGAAATCCAAAAATATAAAGCACCAAGAAAAGCTCAAAGCATCTGCAAGCCAGAAGGATGCAACTGATAATACAGTTCTGTGTGTAACACCCATTAGCATCATTCTCTCCCTCACTAAAATGAAAGCTAAAGAAAGGAGGGCTGGTTCTGGCACCAAACTAACTGAGGTATAGCCTAGGTTTTCATTCACACAAAACACTATTTCCTTGGAAAAATTACTGAGTTTTCTTTTGCCTGTAAAGTGTGAGCCAAATTACTTGAATGTCCCCATCTCCAGCAATCAAGAGATCTATATAAAAGCAACAAAAAAAGTATACACTGGTATGGCACTATCCTAAGATGCTCTAAAAGCATCACAAAACATTTTCCAAATGGAATGTGAATACTTCCTTTTTTTAAAGATTTATTTGTGCATACAGAACTGGAGTACAAGCCAGAGATGGGGGGGGGGGGGGGGTTGGGAGGAAGAGGCTTCACCAGAGACACAGCGGGGACCCGAACAGGCAGATCGACGAAGTACACTGCTGAGGGGAGCAGCACACGGGGCAGAAAAGGTCTGCCGCACCATGTGGGTCACCTCCCGGGCCGGGGATCAAACTCACACTGAAATGGCTGCTGCTGGTTTGCACTGCTGCATCCTAACCCATTGTGCCACCAGAGAGGCCCTTTTATTGTTTTTTCAACTAAAGTAGCTATCTTTTGAAAATACTCTTCCCAACATTTATCTTACTTCACCTTATTAAGGTAGAAAAAGCAAGCATTTCCATTTTCCAGACAGCACGTTATAATTTAAACAAGTCACACACTTCATTTGACACATGGAGTCAGTATTAGAATCAAGGTCATGTTAATCTAGTCCCTTGCTCTTTCCTTGTTCTACATCACCTAGCTTCTAAAATTCTTTTGCAACTCACACTTTTGGTAGTGCTTGTCTTAGAATCATTCATTCTTGATTCAAATGTATCCCACCACTCCCCTGAGGCACACCTTTAAAGAATTCCTACACACTGCTTCCCTATTTGCACGAGAAAACACTTCCCTTGTGGTTTCAAAGGCTCCAAACCCAATACAGATGTATAGTATCCAGTTTTTGATACCTTATTGTTTTTATCAGTTATATCTTGTTTTCCAAAGTTGGGATATAGAGAAAACTTTTAGGTATATAAATGTTCTTTATCCTTTTCTTATACTGTTGTTTTAGTTTTTAAAGGGAGGTGAACAAAAAAAAAAAGGACCAAGTCCCCATCTAGAGCACTATTATTGCAAAATTTAAATAGAAATAGTAGCAGGCATATAATTAGAAAAACAAAACAGTTGAGAAAGGCTCAAGATAAACAGATAAAAACTCCCCCAATACCTCTTCTCAAGGGACCCTGCTCCTTAAACATCTCTGTGATTTCATTCAGAAAAGGAACCTAACTTTACATGTATTTTCTAAGGTCCTGAGTTTAGTAAGCTTACTGATAGTATAAATTCTTCCTCCATCATAGATGTAATGTCCTTCAAGAACAAAAAGGCCTAAAAGACAGGAATTCTCAAAACCATTTTGTCCTAGGATAATATACTAAGAAAAATACCCCTGACATTTTTCATTCTTCTGTCCCTCTAAGAAATTCACCATAATATTCAAAAGGATTCTCTCTCACATTGTTTCTTAGACACTATCCTCAAATCCTAGGATTTGTTCCAACCCAAATCTGACCATTTAATTACCACCTTGACTCAAGAATAAAAGATTAAAATAGCTTTATAATATAGTGGTGATGTCTATGAAAAATATCATATTTTAAAGCATAACTTGAACATGGGAATGATGCAGTTGTATAACCATCATTTTAAATATTTTAAATATTACTAAATGGGCTTTACTTTAAATTTTAAATATTACTAAATGGGCTTTATTTTAAAAGGCAAGTTTATAGATTTTTTTTTATTTACCTCTTCATCCCATGTGAAATGATGAATAGAAATGTCATTTGATTTCTGACAGAGTTTTATTTCTTGCTGGGTGTCCAGCTGTAGAGATGGGTCCCAGAAGTTGCGTTCACAAGCTTGCACGGTCCAGTCCAGGACATCCCAGACAATCAGCTCTCCAACATGAGAGCCAGTTACAAAATGCAAATCTAGAGAGAGTCATATATTAGTCTTACTGCTGGTCATTTTACGTAGGCTACGAGTGGAATTGGACTGCCTAAGTAGGAATGCTCTAGAATACCACAATAATTAGAATAATTATTAAAGTGGAGGGAAGGGATTAAGCTGTAGATAAGGCTAACAGGAAGATTAACATGTGAATAGACATAGTCAGGTTTATTTTTGTATTTTGCATGTAATGATGACTCCCTTTCAATTCAGTGACGAAAGACATACCTTATATGCTGCAATCTGATTAAATATTTGAGAAATAAAACTGAAAGTACCTTACTTGGTATACTGTTTACAAAGCATACACTTCTCTGGTGCTTATTTTACACTCTCTTACATATACCAGATGTGTGGAGATTTTCCCACACCAAGAAAATCTGGAATACTCGCTTAGTTCTACAATTTAACTGAAGATAACTGAATCAACATGTCATAGGTTAAAAGCTTAGTCTTACAGCTTAATCCTTTCCCTCCACTTTATAAGTGCCGCACACAAGTCCAGGTTGTTACCTGTGTTTCTGATCAGTCAGCTATAAGTTCAAGATTCCAATAACCCCCTCATGTTGTTCAGTCAATTTTTATATCAAACGAAGGAAAACAGTTTACTTATTATTTACCAGTTTGTTGTATAAAAAGGTGTGATAAACACAGGTGAACGTCCAGAAGTACAAGACATTTAGGACACAGTATGTGGGAAGGAAGCAAAGCTTCCATCCCAAATGGGCCACTCTCCTTTTACATGCTGAACCACCAGAAATTCTCCAAACCCCATTCTGGAGTTTTTAATGGAGGCTTAATCGTAGAGACACAATCAATTATTAACTCCGTTTCAAATTCCTCTTCCCTCCCACAGAATGGAGGAACCAAGACCCTGAATATTCCAAGCTTCTAATTGTGAGCTCTGTCTTTCTGATGATCAGCACCCTTTAGAAGCTCAACAAAAATGAATGGTCTCATCAGAACAAAAGACACTCTTATCACCAAGAAAATTCCAAAGATTTTAGGACCTTTGTTACAAACTGTTAGCAGAGACCATATTTTTTACATTATTTCACATATACAAAAAAGTTATAAGTAGATCAAAGATTAAAAGATTAAAGGTGAATTATTTTATGAACATGAAATTCTAAAACGCTTTAAAAAGAGGCAGGATTGAATAAAGATATTTGAAAAAATATGTTTGTACCCCCCCCCCCCCCCCCCCACACAAGTGACAAAAAGCTAGGGAAAATTTGCAACTCTGATTTCAAAACAGGTATATTATACATGATACATAGGACTTCTTTAAAAATTAGTAAGAATGAGATAAATACTTCAGTAGGGAAAAACAAAAAGAGTTGAGGACCTGACAGCTACAAATGATCGGTAACTTGTGAAGATGTTCAATTTCCCTAAAAGTCAAAGAAATCTGAAGCAAGAAGATGTTATCTATTAGTTTGCAAGTTGGGAAAGATTATGAAAGAGGAAAATACCCAATCCTGTCAATAAACAAAAGCAATCAGCACACTCACAATCTACTAATGTCCTGATATAAACTGGTATACTCTTTTGTGAAACCTGATTAATACCTATCATAACCTTTAAAAAATGTAAACCCATTAATCCAACAATTCTACTCTTAGGAATTAATCCTGAGTAAAGTACAAAAAAAATGTATAGCAACATTATATACGATGATAAAAATCTGAAAACCTAACTGCAAAAGGAAAAACAATATATGATACTCACAAAATGAAATATCAATGCTGTTACTGAAAATTAAGTAGTAAAAGAATGTTTATATGGAAATACATTTAGGACATACTGTTACACAATACAAAGCAGTAAGTAATCTACACACACGAACATAAGCCCAGGAAAACACTTATATAAGGATATGGGCGAGTATTAAATGCTACATGGTAGGATGATTTTAATTTATGGTAGGATGATTTTAATTTATATTTTAAATTTTTTAAGCTTGTATTTTCTCCCTTTTCTAGCATGACTATGATTTACTTGTATAATAACAAGTTTTTTAAAGCCCTTAAAGAAAATGGAATTAATAGGTCAACTAATACAACTTTACAACTTATACTTACTGCAAAATGTATAACTGCTGAGACTAAAAATTACCTATTTTAATTCTTATGTATTTAATAGAAAGCAGAACAGAATAATGCACTGTGAGTTTGGAAACCCAAGTCCTAATTTTGGATCTGCCTGTTATTAGCCATACGGTCTTCAGAAAGTCATTTAACCTTTTTCTTTGATTTGTCGGGCATTAAATAAGGATAGCATTAAAAATTAAGTTAAATAATAAATGTGTAGCCATTATCTTCCAGCCCTGGCATTATTTTTTCTTTTTTTCTTTTTATATAATTTTGTACATTTTTTTCCCCATCTCAATTGTAATCCCCGTGGGTTTCCCATCACCAAGTCACCCATGTGCCATCACCATAATCCCGTGCACTTCCCTCTCCACCCCACCCCACTCCCGTTTTTTATCCCATTCCCCACTCCACCCCCGCAAAATGTCTCTGGTATATGGTTGTTCATTATTTTTGTTATTTTCTCACAGCCCTGGCATTATTTTGAGCCCCTGATATCATTCCATATTAACGGTATTAAAACATGCAGTTCTTCTAATTCAGGAATATACAGATGGGTAATTATGATTAAATTATTCCATTTATCAAATAAGTCAGCAGCACAGAAATCTCTTAATTAGATGAACACTCTCTTAGAAGTAAAGAATTACAAGAAATCATATATAAAACATTTCATCTTGGTTCCAAGTCTGATTTTTATACTTTATTGATAGGCTCTACAGAATTGGCTTTGTGAAGAAACATTAATTTCTCACCTGTAAAAAGGAACAGCCTTCCAGTTTTCCTAGTGGGAAAGTTACCATTACTTTTCCTGTCACCTTACCCTCTTCCTTCCAATTTTATATCAAGTACAAAAGAATTGGAGCCATTAGGGAGTGGCTCTCCATGTGTCCCCATAATAAAGTTTACTTTATGTACTGACAACACACAGTTGTCTCCTCTGATTTAACCCTCCAGTGTCTATAATGCATTTATGCAATAGAAACAAAGATTTTCTTCACTGACAACAGAATTTACCTCAGTTGACAGTTTACCACTGTATAAATTAATTATATTCTCAAACAGTTCATTCAAAATGTTTTACACCAAATAATCTCAATGTCATTTTAATAGATGTATTTCATTCTAAATTATCACTTAGCATGAAAATCCCAACTGATATCTATCTGCTCATCACTCAGCAACATTAATACTTTGTGATTAACAAACCATGCTATCAACACAAAACAAGAAGAGGGAAAAGTCGCACCCAAAGCCTTTACCCAGAAGAGACAAGCAAGGTTATAGTCTGTCTTTGAAAACCTATCCAGGTATTCATTTCACTTTGTCTTAACAGTGTAAGATTGCCCTTGAGCCACCTAGGTGAAAATATACTTCCCCTATTAGGCATACACCCAGAACTAGCGATATCTTGCTAATGGGTGGGGACAAAGAAGCCAGCTGAGAGTGGATGTGGGATTTGTACATCATCATCATTTCAGGATCAATAAAAACTACAGCATAGCAGGCATGCTGAGGTGCAAGATAAGAATTTCAACATATTTTCAAGATTTACAAGATCACATATCTATGTATGATTACTAAGTATGCCTTTTGGATAACACATTATCTTTAATAAAATTTAAGTTATGAAGTTTGTAAAGTAAAAAGCTACTAGGGATTTCCTGTTTTGTTTTGTTTTAGCTTTCCATTTTCCTCTGCTGCAGAAGCTAGCAAGGAAATACTTGAAAAGTAGCTTTTTTGGTTAAACTGTTTCAGGCTTTTGGGGCACATTTCACTATAACACAAGTACAATGAAATAAGGCTACCTCAGAATACCCCATCACCTTCGTTAACAAACTATGGGTCAGTGTTACCAGCACTACACCACTAAAATCAGACAACTTCAGTGAAATGGTCCAAAACAAAATTGTGCTTTTCTCAGTATCTCCAGGCCTTGCAGCTTTATGGCTCAGTGTCCACACAGTGACACAAATAAACTTGCCTTTTGCGCTGCATCCATGGCTAGAAGGGGAAAGAGTCCTTAAGAGAAAAATAAAGGAATGCTCTCTACCATGGTAACTTCTATCACTATAAACAAGCTGGTCCTTTGAAAAACTTTCATTTGGGCTGAGTAACACAACAGCTATTTGGGAGGAAAGTTTTAGATTTGAGAAGGATATTCTCAATGATCTACAAGTGTGGCTCAGTGGCAAACAAATGAAGATTATTTTTGGTGTCTGTGCACCAACGAGGATCTTAGGTCAGAGGGCCGAGTCTAGTCCTCCTCCTACATCATACTCATGGAACCCTTACAGGGCCTTCTTACTGTCTTTTCCTTACTCTCACACTGAAGTCCCACAGCAGTCCTCACATTTGAACTCAGTATATGCATCATCCAGAAGAGCTCTGATGATAATGCTTTATTTGAAAGTGAACTAGCAAAATCCCAGTCATTTGTAGGTTGTAATCCAAACCTGCCATGTAAAAGGTCAGATTCAACCACAAGATAAGCTCATTAAAATAAATATATGCGTACCAAAGACATTTGTGGTGGTGGGGTGGGAAATGTGATCAAAAACAGTGGGGAGGGGGGCCCTCCCTGGTGGCGCAGCGGGTTAAAGCACTGCACTAAGAAGCTAAAGCCACTTCCATGAGTTCGATTTCCGCATGAGCTCTATCCCGCCTGCCCGAGAGGTGACCACATGGCATGGCAGACCACTACTGACCCGCCCGCTGCTCCCCTCAGCAGTGTACTGCGTTGATCTGCCTCACTCTGCTCCCCACTCTGTCTCTGGTGAATCCTCTCACCCTCC